CCCAGCCTCCCCCCGGGCTGCGAATTCGGCCAAGCCGACATGCAGAAGTTGGTCCCCAAGGAGGAGAAAACAGCCCCCAGCCCACCCCAGGGGGGCAAACGAGCCGGTAAGCAGCGAGACCCCAACCCCAAAACCCCAAAATCTGTGCTCAGAGCTTTTTTTGGGGGAGGAGGGAAGGAAGGAAGGTGAGCGACACCCTTCCTAACCCCCCCCATCACCCCACAGAGGGCGAAGCAGAGGGGCCGGGCTCCGAGCCCCCCGCCCAGGGGCTGCTGGAGGGGATGGGGCTGGACAGCGAGGCGCTGGCCCCCATGGAGACGGACGAGCCCAGCAACGCCGACCCCAAAGGCAAAGCCAAAATCACCCCGGCCATGGCTGCACGCATCAAGCAGATCAAACCGCTGCTGTCGGGTGAGACCCCCACCCTTGGGGGGGGTCCCGAACCCCATTTTGGGGGTGGGAGAAGGATCTGGGGGGGGGTCTGTGGTCTTTATGGGGAGATGTGTGGGGTACGGAGAGGGAAGGGGGTGGGTTTTGGGGGTTGTGACGATGAAAGGAGCATCAATATTGGGCGGGGGTCCCTGAAATGGGGGGGGGGTTGAACCGAGTGTTGGGGGAGATAAAGGGGTTGGATGTGGGGGGGCTTTGAGGGGGAGGAAGAGACCCCGAGGTCCCCCCAGAAGGAAAAGGGGAGCGCGGATGTTGGGGCTCTTTGGGGTGGGGGTGACCTGGGGTTGGATTCAGGGGTCTGTGGGGTGGGGGGAAGACCCCCGGTGTGCCCAGTGAGTTTGGGGGGACCCCAGTATTGGGGTCTCTCTTCTGGGGGGAGGTCGGTGAGAGCTTCACTGGGGGAGCTGGGGGGGAGAGGAGATCCTGGGGGTCCCCAGCTCCAAAGAGGGGAGCAGTAATATTGGGGTTCCTCTGGAGATGGATGGGGAGGGGTTGGATGTGGGGGTCCTTGGGGTCCCCAGTACTGGGGATCCTTTTGGGATAGGTGGAACAGGGTTGGATGTGGGGGTTTTTGGGGTCCTCACTATTGGGGGAGCCAAGAATCCAAATGTGGCACCCTAATACTTGGGCTGCTCATGAAATGGACTGTGGTTGTGTGTGGGACCCCAAAGCCCCCTGGTAACAAAGCCAAGAGCCCAACCCTTGGCATTCCTGGCCCTGGCGATGCTCGGGGTGCACCCAGGAGCCCGGGACCCCCCCGTCTCACCCCACATCCCCCTCCCCAGCCTCGTCACGGCTGGGGTTGGACGTGGGGAGTTCTTAGAGTCCCCAGTGTTGGGGTTCCTCTTGAGATGGATGGGTTGAGGTTGGACGTGGGGGGCTCTGAGGGTCCCCAATATTGGGGTTCCATGTTGGGATTCTTGGGGTCCTCAATATTGGGTTTGGATGATGGGATTCTTGGGGTCCTCAATATTGGGTTTGGATGCTGGGATTCTTGGGGTCCTCAATATTGGGGTTCCATGTTGGGATTCTTGGGGTCCTCAATATTGGGTTTGGATGCTGGGATTCTTGGGGTCCTCAATATTGGGGTTGGATGCTGGGATTCTTGGGGTCCTCAATTTTGGGGTTGGATGCTGGGAATCTTGGGGTCCTCAATATTGAGGTTCCATGTTGAGATTCTTGGGGTCTTCAATATTGGGGTTGGATGCTGGGATTCTTGGGTCCCCAGTATTTTGGTTCCTGTTGAGGTAGACAGAGTGGGGTTGGATGTGGGGGTTTTTGGGGTCCTCAGTATTGGAGGTGCCAAGAATCCAAACGTGGAACCCTAATAGTGTGTGTGGGACCCCAAAGCCCCCCGGTAACAAAGCCAAGAGCCCAACCCTTGGCATTCCTGACCCTGGCGATGCTCGGGGTGCACCCAGGAGCCCGGGACCCCCCCGGCTCACCCCACATCCCCCTCCCCAGCCTCGTCACGGCTGGGCCGGGCGCTGGCCGAGCTGTTTGGGCTGCTGGTGAAGCTGTGCGTGGGTTCCCCGGTGCGGCAGCGGCGCAGCCACCACGCAGCCAGCGCAGCCCCCGCCCCGACCCCCGCCGCCCGCGCCACCGCCTCCGCCCTCACCAAGCTGCTGACCAAGGGGCTGAGCTGGCAGCCCCCACCCTACACACCCACCCCCCGCTTTCGGTGAGTCGGGGTGGGGATGGGGGTCCTGGGGGG